GGTGACTTGTTGGCCCTCTTTGTTGTCCCACAGACTTGTCTTTGAGCTATAGTTCTGCCCCTAAATATCTGTGCAGTTTGGGGCAAGTGTGTTCATCTGTAAAATGGGAATAAAGATAGAACCTTGCTTAGAAGGGTCTAGAAATGAGAAAACGCAAGTAAAATGACTCAGGGACTTCTCGTTGCTATTATCATTGTTCTTCCCTTTTCCCTCATGCCCCTCCTCCCCTCTTCCTCTTCTCTTTGGGCTCCGGGAGCCTGGGGCCAGCCCCGCCCCCACCCCCATAGTCTTTCAAGCAGCCTCCCTCCTCAGCCATTGCCCTGGACCCTGGCCCCACACCCCAGCTGGTGGGCTGGGTTTCCTTACCCACAGCCACCTCCAGCCTCTCATGATTCTTATCCAGAACACATTCTGGCTTCAGATTTAAGTTTTTTCCTGGCTCCCCAGAGAAGCTTGATCCCCTGCTGGGCTGTTTCTTGATGTCTTGACCATTAAACCCCCTGCTCCAGTTCCTTCTAAAAAAAAAAAAACCCAGACCCACTAGATTGGGTCTAGCCCCTGCTTAGGAGGGGAGGTAGTGGGGTTTCCATAGCAGGGAAACAAAACCAGTTCAAATGTTTACCACGGAAGGATTTTTTAAAAATGTATACTTTATTTTTTTTTATAACAGTTTTCTATTTACAGAAAAATTGAGATGATAGTACAGATAGTTCCCACCTACCTCATACCCACTTTCCTCATTACTAACTTTTTACATGTTAATGTATGGTACATTTATTATAATTAATTAACCAATATTGATACACTATTACCAGCTAAAATCCATACTTTATCTAAATTTTCTTAGTTTTTACTTGATGTCCTTTTTCTGTCCCACTGTCCCATCCAGCATATTATTAATATGTTTAAGTGTCATGTCTCCTTAAAGCTCGTCTTTGCTGTAACAGTTTCTCAGCATTTTCTGGTTTTTGATACTTCTGAGGAGTACTGCTCAGGTGTCTTGTGAGTTGCCCTTCCATTGGGATTTGCTGATGTGCACAGAAGGAATTGAATGCAGGGGATTGCTCCATAGGTGAGGGAGAATCTGAGATGCAAACAGGAAGATAAATTTACCCATCAGCTAATTTTAGCAGAAAGCCATTAACATCCCAAAGCTGGAGAGTTAACAGGAAATAACAATGTTACCTGAACCACGGGCTGGGGTCACCTGGCAGCCTGATGCTGGAGATGATTATCAGAGGCAAGAGGGAAGCGAAGAAATTCTCTGGCCTCTCCTTTTCTTTCACCCTCCACTGTCCCTCCAATGCCTCTCATGGGCCATATCCAGCCATTAGCCAACTGTTCCAGGATTCTGTAAAGCTTGGCCCGTGAGAGTCAGCTCCTAGCAACACTGAGTGAGGGCAAGGCTGAGAATGGCTCTGAAGACAAACTGGCCTGGACCCTTGACGTTTGGACACACAGTGCCTGTGACACAGTTTTACTGCATCACTTACATCACTGCTCTGCAACTGTTTGCCGGTTTAAGGGCTCCACTGCATTATTTATTTTTTATACCCAGAGCCTAGAATAGTACCTTGCTTACATTAAATTTTCAATGCTTGAGGTATACAGAATGAATGAATGAGTGATGGTTTCTTTTGACCAGTCTCTCTCGGGTGCACTCTAGCTTTGGGGAATTGCTCACCACCAGCTTTTCTTTTCAGTTTCTCATCACCTCCTTTTGGTACTAGGATTACTTTCAGCCTAGCATTTGCAACATTTGAAGGCCACGTGGATAGTGTGACTATAATTAGACCTGTTTTCAACAAAGGAGTCAAATGAATTCACCAAGTAAGTTTAGCATTAATGCTTCCAAGTGGTTCCTCAGGAAGGCTGTCCACGTCTTCTGAGGATGCCACCATGCCTAGCCACTTCCTTAGTTGCTGCACAAGAAAGGGAATGAATCATTTTTAAGAATAAAATATTTGTCTTTTCAGTTATATGTCACCCAGCCCTCACCTGGCTGGTATTTAGGTGGTTTGGGACACATCATCAGAGAAGTCACATTTCCTTTTAGCAGAGGGGAGGAGGAAGTGGAATGCCACAAACGGAACTGACTGGTGACTTTCCCATGGGTGCAGGAGTGCTGAGAACTAACACCCCGGTTGTCACAAGGTCTGGGCAGGGACACCCTGGATCTCATGAATAGGCTGCCTGGTATCTGAAATGTCTGAGTTTCCAGGGTTCTCAAGGACTTTCAGTGCTGGGACAACACATAGAAAACCAAGTTCCACTTGATAAAACCTCACTCCTCTATGTGTCTGGTGGGGTCAGTACATAATCTCTGACAGAGAACAAAAAAATGTATAGGTGACAGGGGCATTGCTCAGCCCCAGAGTTTCAAGTTTTCTGTCTGCCAGGGTGCCCTGGACAGCCATGGGACAGAAATCTGACCAGTCAGCTTTTTCATTTAGCAGAGACTGAAACACTTGCAACCAGCCTCTTACTTCCATTCTGGTAAATTGCTGCTCCAAAACAGGTAAGAAATTGTTACCAATACAAGTTTGTGTGCTTGCAGGACCATGAAGCCAAACAAACTGAAACATCAGAGTTTGGGGGAGAAAAAGGTTTATTGCAGGGCTAACCAAGGAGGATGGGGTGACTTATGCCCAAGAAAACCTCAAACTACTTGAAGGGTTTCAGCAAAGCATATTTAAAGGCCAGATAAGGGCAGGGGTTGCAGGGTACGTGATTAGCTCATGCACAATTCTCTGGCTGACGTTGAGGTAACAGGGCGGTCAACACTACTGACCCCCAGGCTCCAGAAGGTCTGGAGGCCACCTGCCCTCGATTATCAAGTAGTTCATTTCTTCCCTTTGGTGGTGGTTTTAAGCATCTGAAAAACTCAGGAAATGTACATGAGATACTATTATCTGGGGACTTCAAAGAGGAGCTACAGGAGAAGATATGGGGGAGGGGTCTGACCCTGAAAGTCCCCGCAGGGTGCTGCTTGGTTACAAAATGATGACTACAGAAACATACCTGCGTTTTTGTTTTGGATACCTCATTTTCCACAATATTCCACAAGTAGTTGGGAGGCCAAGTGGTGCACTTGAAAAAGCAGAAGTCTGTTGGAAATGTCAGAGACTGAGGCTGGGATCCCAGCTCCTCTGAGGACCAGCTGTTGTGATTTTGGACAAGTCACCCATACCCTTCGGGGCCTCCACTTCCTCATTTGAGAATCGGGGATTATAGTGTCTATTTTGTCACAGGAGTATGGTAAAGATCACAGGAGATGTCTGTATGAGGACTTTGAAGATTGACAAGTGTAACATATTACAACTCGTTCTATGCGTGGACATAAGACAGCAGAAAAGGTACCTTTGATGTTTAATTAATACTAAAAATCTTCCATTACATTTATTTAGCTATAATTGGGAAGGAGGAGGGCATGAGTAATTTTCAAAGGGACTTTTTTGAGCTCCAAAAATAGAGCTCAGAAAACACATATTTGATTTTCCTTTTGGTGTCAAACCACAGTGCCATTGTTATTAGCAGTTTTACAGAATTGTGACCTTCAAACTTGGCGATATCAAAGACTGAAAGAAAGCTCTCAGTCTTGAAGCCTTTCAAATAAGCTTTTTAAACTAAAGCACTTTTATTTTGTATTAAAGGCTAATAGAATTGTCCTCTTAAATGAGCACTTGCAAGTTTAAAAGTTGCCATCCAGGTGGGCTATGGTAAATGAATGTGCTGAGAGGGCGCTGAAAGCCCTTTTGGGGGCAAATGAGGGGACTCGGTCATGGGGTTCCTGTAACACACTTTCTGCAGTTAGAAGAGAAATCTAGAACTTAAATTTTCCCTAACTGTACACAAGCTGCTTTGTGTACACATCTAGGATCATAATTTACTTTCACTTTACTGAATTTGTGAATTTTTGCATTTGTTTTAATTTGTAATTAAGTTTCCTCCATGAAGCACACCATATGCCACCATTAATTCTTTCTCGTTGATTTCTTGGGAGATACATGAGTGCATATTCTGATGCAATTTTTGAGGTCTTTTGAAAATCAAATGACTACGTGTTTAGCCATATGGGCCATTGTTATTTAAAATAGCGTATGATAAAGTAAGAGAAAGCAAAATGCAAAAGGACGTGTTAGGGGGAAAAAATCATTGGAAAACTCTTTAAAACATTTTTTAAACACACAATTTTCAACTTTTTTTTTTTTTTGGCGTTACATTTTTGAAACCTCTCTTTACAGACCCCGCACTCTCTCTTCCCCTCTGTGAACGTACAGTATCACAAGTGCTCCAGGCGAACCTACGGAAATCAGTTACTGCCCCACGTTGTACACTGGGGCTGCAGATATTAGTTGTCGCCAGTGTTTCTCTTTTAACATCTGAGGCCGGGATTTGACTTTAAGCTCCAGCTCATTCGCAAGTACGGTGTCTGGTTTTGAAAGGGGCCGACGGGTTTTTCGGTTTTCCCGGGGACGCACGGTGCTCCCGAGCCGCCTGCCGTACGTGCGGGCTGCAGACTGAGCCGCGGCGG